GCTTTGAGACAATAGTGCTGTTCTGAAGTGAATTCTCAGTCATCCTCCCTTACTGAACCTTGGTTCAGTTTGCAGGGTGGTTTTGGTACACAAGAATTAAGCTTATTTTGTACGAAACTACAGTGGAGGCTCAGCTGCCTTTCAAATACACTCCAGTCTCTAAAAGAGAGACTAAGAATCTGAACCCATTATTTGGCCTGCTTCAAACTGCATATGCAGTTGGGGCATTTATCCAAGGAAACATAATATATGTAGTCTTGAGCTGCATATAGTGTAGATGTACAAGTCTCAGGAGAACTGCTTTCATCTACTGATCCTCCCCCACTGTAACAAGTATTTTGGCAATGTACACACAGGTAGAGTCCCAAGGACCAAACCTTCACAGTGGGATCCTCAGTGATTTTCCCAACATTACTTCAGAGAAGTTTGACTACTACATACTTTTCTGTAGGATCTAAAACCTAAAAATTTCTGTGCATAAGCCATTTTCCACTGAACAAGCTTTTGGGACCACCTCAGATGACTCCACTTAACTTGTTGGGGTTTTTTTGGTATACATTATTTCTCCACTCAATTCTAATTAAGATGTTGCTGTTATAAGACCCTTACAATTTATTTGTTATTTGAAGCCACCACTGGCTTTCTCAAACACCAAATTCAGACTTCTTTCCTTTACCCCTAAGCATCTCAGCATAATCTTGGTCCTTGTCCTCCTTGTCTTGGGCATTGCAGGGTGCTGAAGGCAGCCCATGGCACTACTTGCAGGCAGAGCTCCTCCTCCAGCTGAGATTCTTAGAAAGCAATTTTCCACTTCTAAGTCTGGGTAGTGTCTGGATACTAGACACTAGTAGAGCTATAATCAAAAGGCTGAATTCCTACCTTGTCCCTGAATTTAGCAAGTATCAAACTGGTCATGACACAGCGAACAGTAAGATACAAAGCTCATTGGAGCAGTTATCCTAGGGAGTCCCTTTGTAACTGGGCCAGCAGCGTAGTCTTCAACTTATTAAATTTCTGTATGCCCAGTTTGCAAACAAGCAACCTCTCCACACCCACGTATTTTAAGAAGAAATCCTGAATCTCTTTCTTAACAACACCACAAAATAATGGGAAAACAATTCAGTCGGAGACAGTTAAGACTACCACTAAAATAAAAGTATTGATTTAATTCATAGCTCTGGAGGCATAGTAGTAGAGCACTAGCATACGTTGTATACAAGGCTATGTGATCTTTCTTCACCATAGAAAATGTTCTTGAAGGAAAGCCAAAGCTGAAAACCATGTAACTGCCTAAAAATAGTTTCAAACAGTAACTGGGAGGATTAAAACATGTCTCACAGATCTTTGGTTTTGGAAAGTGAAATCTGGTCAATTAAATTCATGCCAAAATTCATGAGAAAAATGCTCCCTGAATCAGGAAACCAAGTTAAAAAGCTGAAGATTGTATTTGCCAAAGACTGTGCTACTGTGTAAGTGATTGGGACACATGAAAAACAAAATGGTTGAGAAAACACCGTGATGGAATGTGGAAATCTGAATCCTTAGATCTTGACTCCTAAAGCCTCAGGAATGATTGAACTCTATGGGTAGGAAGGCTGTACCTTGGCCAAGCAGCAGCTCAATGCAGCACCCTGGGAACTCTCAGTGAGCCACATGGCTGCATCCAGGTGATGTCTGCAAGACACTGTTCCCTGCTGTTCAGTAGGGCCCCTCAGCTTCAGTAAAAAAACTACACTGGACAGACTGTACTGCTTTAAGTGCCCAAATTAGCTGTTACGCTTCCCCTTGATGCTATGCTGTCTCATGTAGATATAATTATAATGATACATAAGCTCTGAAAATGCTTTTAAAATCAGAACTCTCTCTGAAGTAGACATGAAGTGAAACTTTGGTGCAGTGACCTCCCTTGTTTTGTGAACAGAGGGAGGTCCTATATCCCCAGGCAGTGAGATAAAAGTGCAAAACAAACTTTAATGAAATCAAAGAAGTTTGAAGCAGGCCTTAAAACCATATTTAACCCATATTTATAGTATCTAGATACAATATTGTCTCTAATGACACTGACATTAAAGCTTACATCCTTTGTGTTGCAAAAAAACATAACAAAGAAACAAGAAGCAATTCCCTCCTCAAACAAATCTCATTAAAAAAAAAAAAAAAAGGCTCTGAAAAAAAGTAGGGAAATATGCTTTTTCAGGAAAGAAAGTCACACAGATTTCTAAAACCAGAAGGGCATATTTTTTACCCGGAATTGTATAGAGCTGGAAGTATGGCTGCCACGTTGAAAGACACAAAGAGCACAATAGAGTTGAGCTGCTTTTTTCAGTGACAATTCACCTCAAGTCAAAGGTGGTAATGGCCAAATAGAGCTCATTTCTCTCGGATATTTTTTAAATGCACTCACTTCCCTTACAGAAAGGAGAAGGGGCATCTTATCATCCCGTCTGAACAGTCAGGAGGAAATGAGCTTGGGATGATCTTGCAGGAGGTTGAACTAGATGGATCACTCCCGCTAGTCCAGAAAACTCTCTTAATTTGTTGACCATTGTGTAGCCTGCAGAGATATCTTAGTCATTGCTTCTGATTTAACAGAAGTTTCATTCAGCTATTGCTCAGATGAAGGTAATTCAATGTATTCAATTCATTTGTCAGACTACAAATGGCAATTCTAAACTCTATGATATTGATTTATTTATAAATAAAAACTTCTTACTTAATTCCTCTTAAAAATAATGTTTTAAATTAAATAATTACTTTTTTTTTATTTAAAAAAAAATTCATAAGAAAAACTGGAAACTGCTCTAAATTCCCCAACTTTTTTCCATATTTGATGATAATACTATGGAAATTGCATTCTTTCATGACATTCATTAGCTGCAAAATCTATTCAATAGAACTGTTTTTATTTTAATTTTTATGCATTATAGTCAATGAGTGTCTCATTGTTCCACATAATGTTTCCTATACTATTATTAAACAGAACAGGAGGTGTCCTCTTTAATTAAGGTATTTATCAAATCCCCTATCAATGCAAAAATGCTATTTTTGCACTGAAATTTAAATAGCTGTGTTCTCTAGAACTATGACAATTTTGGTAAAGTATTTTTTGAAAGGTCTAACAAAATCTCCAATGTTTGCAAATTTTATAACATAACATTAAACAAAAATGAGGTGTCATTCCTGATGATCAGGCACTGTGTTTAATTCAATCTTTTCCAAATCAGATGGAGAATGATCAGCAGAATATTTTGCAAATGGGAAATGGATTTATACGGAGCTTGAGAAAGGAACCACTTGCTTTCCAGCCACATACACTTCAGAAATATTCCGATCATCACCTGAAATAATATGGTCAAAATAGAGATTTGCACATAAATATATGCACTGATTTAATTAATGAGAATTACTCAGTCCGCTAAATAAGTTTTGGAATACATAATTTGCAATGACCTTCTCCTAGGACTAAGAAAGCTCATTTGGAGAGAGACAGTCAGAGCTACCACAAAGACCAATAAATGTTTAAACTACCCATGCTTTCTTTAAGAAATAAACATAGCATTCAGCTGTTGAAATGGTGTAATGGATTTTACGTATTTTGAGTAGATTCAAACCGTGAAAATATTATATATTTGTACAGAAAATGCATTGTTGCGTAGTATCTGAACTGGTCCAGGTACCCACCAGCAACAAAGACGATGTGCCCCAGCCAGTTTCTCAAAAAGGCAAAAATCTAGTTAGAGGATGACACAGCTGTGGCCGGAGCTAACACCAGTTACCTCAATATAGCAACACAGTGGGCAATGCAGCTCTGGTCCAGACAGTGTCCTGTGAAGAGTACCTGCTCCCTTAGGGGTGGGATTGTTTGGATTGGGTTTTGTTTGTTTTAAAGGTCATCATTTCTGTTTGAAAGTAAAAAAGCACAGTGACAACTGGCCTACAGAAGTCCTTGTGAACTGAACTAGTTCTGAACTGGTGATTAGCATGTCAGTGTTACTTTATTAAGAAATACAATTTTGCTAGTACTGTACATAAAGATAAATGTGGTGCAACTGATCACATGAAACTATTTAACTATGTCTCAAAGATCAAAAGTTAAACTACTCAATTCTTAGGCAGTATTTTAAAAGAAATATTAATAAATACAAGTCAATTTTTATTTATTAATGTAAAACATTAACATTAATTGTCAGGGACATGTTAATGTTTACATAACAGTTGAATAAATATACTTGGTTACTGTAAACAATTATATATTTAATGTATAAATAAATTTATTAATAATCTCTGCATTAATTTAGACAATGTTTGATGTAGGAAATGAGAATTTTATGTGGGTTGAAAATCAGATCATACCTAGATACAGGAACTTCTGGAGAGTGTCCTACAAGAAAACAGGAGAAAACCAAATTCAGAAAGCAGTATCTACTGTCCCAGATCATAATTATTCAAAGCTTAAAAGAACTGATAAAAATTGTTTTCCCCAATATTCCTAGAAATAGTGAAATCAAAACTTAACATGCACGTTTTCGCATAATTAACTCTCACAGGAAGAAAACACTGCACAAGTTTGACGGCATAAACAAGTAAGTGCCCTTTCCCTTATTTAGAGTTCTCAAATTCACTTACTCATTGAAAAATAAGACAAAATATTAACATCTTTAGAGTCCTAAGAACTGCCACCTTAGCTAAAAAGGTTTAGACTTACACAGAAAAATATTTCTTTTACAGAACTGGAATCGTTTCCAGACAGTCTGGCCACATCAATAAATTCAAGTAACTGCTGTTAATCATCTTTCTTAGTCAGAGAAGACTTTTGTATGAGACGGTGTGCCCATTGCATGAGGCAAACACTGCTTTAACGTTAACGTAAAAACTATGCTTTTAACTCAAATTAGCTGTCTTGAGTTCTTACTCAGTTTTATAACAGCAGTGTAGTAAAGCAACGTAACCCTTCTCTGGGAACAGGTTGCCATTTTTCAGTTTGAACTCGAAGTGTTGACTAAAACTCAGTTACTTTTCCTTGGCTGTCATTAGTTAGTGCAAATAGCTAACTCTGTCATCTCAGGCTAATAAAACATGCATTAAAGATATTACATGCATTTTTGCTTATGGGGTTATGGGACTGTCCCTGAGGACAGCAAGATTCTGAAGAAAAACAAACACTGAACCTCTAAGGCTGAAGCACAGATAGCAGTGGTACAGTACATCTGATTCTTGCTACCAAAATAACTCTCAAGAGACTTGTTCTGTCTGTATCAGGGACCTTCCCCACAACATTTCCATTCATTTTTTTGATCATTAATCCTGTTCTGATTACCTCAAAATCATCAGCAGAGAACAAGTCAAAAGGGCTATCTGAAGCCTTTGTGTTGATTAGCAGAGCATCGAATTCTTTGCCCACCTCGAAGTTTCCAATCACGTCATCTAGTCCTAGGGCTGAGGAAGAAAATAAGCTCACAAACATGTCTTCAGCATCAGCCTCTTTCCACCATGTAGAAGCACCTGGCAACTTACTTCAGATATTCATAAGAAAAACCATAATTGAGATGATTATGAGGAAAAACACAAAAGCAAATTCAACAGTGAGTATGCCAGCATCTGAATTCTTCAGAAACCTAAGAACTTAAGAAACAATTTGTTACATTGCAAAAACATTAAAACTCCAAAAGAGGCAATGAAATTAATTCAGAGAAACAGTATATAATAATACTCACCTTGGTAAGGCAGCATTAGATTTAATTTTTTACCAAGTTTAAGAAACTTTGATAGGTTGTATAGACCTGTTAGAGTAGTAACATAAGATAATAAAAGAGATGTACAGTGAGGATAACTAACTGTAATTAGAAGGAACAAAGAACAATATGATGTGGGAAAAAAAATCATAGCCAGATCTGAAGTTCTCATACCCACGAGTAAGGCTTGTCTTATAGTCTAATATTCAACTTTGTTTTTTCAAAGCTTCCTTACATCCTCTGGTTCTCAAGTCCTCATGCACTGAAAACCTACATATTCATCTTAAGTGACTTGATGCTTGAAAGTGCTTAGAATATCTAGAGAGAGGCCTTTATGTCTCTTTGAAATCAACTAGGATAGTTTTAAGTTGTAGAAAGTACCAGCAAATTAAATCAGGTTTTCCAATACTGTGAGACTAAGTTATCAAAAAGGATAATACTGGCAAATAGCTTTGTTCACTTGTTTTCAGATTGCTGTGACACAGGAACTTCAGCCTTCAGTGAAGTTTGAGTGTGGTAAGAATATCACAATTCCTTGAAGATATTTAAACTTCTAAAAATGGTGAAATATTTTGACTACCTACCAGTTTCAACTAAAATGATCTCACATTTCTTCAGGTTTTTGAGCAAAATGCAATTTTTAGATTAAACACAAGAGGGTGATAAGTGTTCAGGACTCTTAACAAAGCAAATTATTCCAATGAAGAATCAGTCATTTAAATTTGTGCTACTGGAATTTCTACTTCCAGTGTCCAGGCTAGTGGACGGTCGTACAAGTAATTTATATTCTACCCTTAAATATGATTCAATAAGGATAAAACAGCTCAAAATCAATATATAAAATCAGCACTTTACTGAGTAAACCTAAGAGAGAAAAAACACAGGAGTAGCTGGGAAGGGAAATCATGGATGAGTTTGCGATTTTTATAAGTTTTCCTTTTGGTGTCTCAGCTGATTTATTCTCACACTTTATGGAACAGTATAAATTGTGGGGAGAAAGATCCCTTTTTTTTTCCCTGCTCATCTTCCGTCTTCTCTATTTCCATTACACCCTCCAGGAATTCAAATATAGTCCTTAGAAGACCTATTTGATGACATTTTCACTACATCTCTCAAACTGCCAATAATAGTTTCCAATCACGCTTTCTGACATCTACAAAAATGTTACACTGAAAAGACTTGGGACTGGTTCTTTAACAGGTAGTGACTTCATTTCTGCTAACTGAAATAGTAATTAGTTTTTACTTACATGTGGATTTGGTCTTTGCTAAATCATACCAGTTCCACTAACATTTTAAAATTGTATATATTAGTAGGTGCACACTGATCATGACAAAACTTGCCAGTGAACCAGGATAACCCACATACTATATGACTGTTCTGCAGATACAATTGTGTCGTAAACAACCATGGTGGGTATCTTGTTTAAATTTTGTGCTTTTCTCTGAGAGAGGAGTGTCACATGATGTTTTGATTTGTGACAAACTGCCTCACTGACAGCTCAAAAAGCAGAAACAAAATTAGAAACTGATGACAAACAGGATGCATGATCTTACAGTTATTGCACAATTTTTCCTCTATGTGATGGTTGCAGAGAGAAAAAATTTCCATTTGGTGTGATAAACATACAAGCACTTACAACCTTATGACTAAGAAGTCTGAGGATCTTCGCAAAGCAAATGTATAACCCTGAAAAGCCATTAAGATTGCATTATTAAACTCTCTACATCGATGTGAGTACTATTCTGTGATAAGTCTAGTATGAGTATGAGAGACTGAAGGATATCTTTGCCCACCAGATACCATTTTAGACTTCACTCTGGCACCAGAAGATCTGTGAATCTCCCATGAAGACAGGGAGACATAATAATAATAATAATAATACTAATACTACTACTACTACTACTACTAATAATAATAATAATAATGGCCAGTCTTTGTGAACAAAGAACCGGGGAAGGTCTTTACACCTTCCAGCCTGCGCATTGGATTTTTTAGGTGAGACACAGTGTGCGCGGAACTGAGCCCACCCTTTAATCCTGAGGTTCATCTGCCGGGGCCAAGCACGCTTGGACGGTGGCAGCGAGGTCCTCAGGACGTAGATGGATTGCCTTACAGGGCTAACGAGCTCCATCTGCCCGGGGAGTGGCCCCGACCGGGAATCGAACCCGGGCCTCGGGGGTG